CACTTCGGATGCCGGGTGATTGTGCACTCATTCGACTGTCAATTTCCTCCAACCTATTCTCCACTACCTCTGTACAGAACAAACTTTTCCTACAACCTGGCGTCCTACGTCTTCTCTTTCCACACAGAACCGGGTTTGAACTTAGCCTACTGCACTAAGGCACTAAGGCTCCCGTGGCCGAAGACGAACTCAAAATCCGTCCACACAATTACTACCGGGCGACGAGGCAGCGACAGGAAGCATCCTAGGTCACCCACGCGGTCAGGAAACGATGACAACTTGTGTCCTAACGCATCCCAACAAAACGCCAGACAGGGGCGACGAGGCGACATGAACTAATAGTCGGACTAATTTTCCTCCCTCTCCTCTCTGGCCCCTAATTATGACTAGAATCTGACTCCTTTGATCCCTTAAGACCTCTCCCCTCTCCCCCTAATTACTACTGATGGGTTGCCAAGAGTTTTTTAAACTCTACCCTCCCTTATATTATTATATTTGTCTGATGATGGAGAATAGAAAACGTTTGTTCACTTAAGTTGGCCTCCTGAATGCTCACATGGGTATCAACGCTGAGCTTAAGCTACTGCGATATACCTTCTTATTCGTGAACATAATCGGCCCATCTCACTTGCGCCAAGATTTGCCGTCTACTAAGAGACCATATCGGAGGAGATATCACACCGCCGCCGCTTCATCACGATATATAACTTCAGTATAAAGCTCTTGTAGTAACATATTCAAGGGTATGCTGTAGTTAGAAGAAAAAAGTTCAGGGCAGGAATCACATTATAGTAGCTTGAACATGGATCCTGCTGAGGGCTAAAAGAGGAGCGTCATGACCCACCTGCCGACTAATTTCTGAATATCCAGCATTGCCTGTAGCTGTTCAATATCGTCATTTTCTGTTTGCACCTTTGTCGACGACCTTTGGATCTTATTCCGCCTTTTGCTCGTCTCCTTATCGATCATTTCTTCCATTTTCCTCAGGGATTCTGTGCAGCAACAGAGGGAGGGGGA